TCTGAGCACAAAGTGAGTCGCCTGCCACGAAATGTGCACTTCGAGGTTCACAAAGTGCTGCGCCTGCCACGAATTCTGCACTTGACTTTGAGGTTTACCGAGCGGTGTGCCTGCCCAGAGATCTGCACTTCGAGGTTCACAAACTGGTGTACCTGCCACGAAATCTTCAAACAAGCCGCATGTCCAAATTCACTGCACCTGTCACGAAATCAGAGCGCCTCGAAGATCACCACCATGTCCAAAGTGCTGCACCCATGAAATCTGCATTTCGAATTAAAACTGCTCCGACCCCTTGCGCCTGTCACGAAAAGCCAACTTTGGACCACCAAAGCACGAGGCTTCCCTCGCGCCTGCCACGAAAAGTGACCACCATGTCCGAAAATGCGCGCGGCACCACAACGGCGGGAGCGCAGTTGCGAGAAGCACCCGCCGCGCCAAGCAGATTCTGCGAGCCTGCGCAGTCGAAATGCACTTGGAGGATTTCGAGAGGCATGAATGCATTGTAAATAGCAGCGAATTAGCCGGACACGTCGGTGCAACACCTCGATTAGACACCGGTGCTTAACCACTACCGTAAGAACCCCTAGTGTGACCACACTGTTTGGGGAAGAAAGACCTCAGCTGGGTGAGGAGGCACATGGAGGCACCTGCACTTCAGTGAGGTCAATAACCAGGTCAACAGTCATGTGAACTGAAACATGAGGAGCCGTGGGTTTTCGATGTCGGTGACCAAAGGTAGCAAGGTCATGAGGGGTCCAATGGGATCGAAACGGGCACCTGACATAGTCCAAACAAAGACCGCGACCGCCCATGCCATGCAACGAATTCCAACAATATGAATAGCATATGATGGTGTATGCCATCTTTGTTTAAGGCCCATGACCTATAGGTATCTATAGGTGGAATAGATGCCCACTTCCTGCACCCAAAGCACTCTTGGAGGTCCACACCAATTAGAGACCCTGTTCAGATGGGATCCTCTCAGTCTTTCGATGAGCCAAGCATCTGCACCAACAGCCCTGCTGGTCGGGAGGGCGCGCACGCGAAGCCGGTGGGCTGAGGTTGAGGAGGCTCCTGGCGTCTGGTGCGCACACCGCTCTCACAGGGCATTTGTCCGTGGTGTTTGCCGGATCTCAGGGTGACCTACTCAGAAGTTCTCCCCAGCAAGAACTGGATGTGAATTAATCGAGTCAGTCACTTCCTTGCAATACCCAAACAGTTCACCTCTGATTCAGAATTGAAAAATGATTATAGTCACTGCCAGAGCTTCTTTGGAAAACAATAGTTTCGTTTCAATTAGAGGTCAGCCAGATTGTTAGAACCTCAGAATATTACATGCTTTTCACTGCCAGGATCTGCCAGGTCCTCAGGCGGTGGCTGGGGCGGAGGTGGCAACGGCGGCTCCGCCTCCTTGATCGTTGGGAGCCGTCCAGCAACCCTGAAATCCAGGAAATCAGAAACATGCTGTAATGTTGGATGCTGATTGGTGATAGGGCCCTCTATAGTGGTATTAAAAAAGAACATCTTGACACAATGTTTGGCTTAAGGGTTCTCTATTATGTTAAATCTCATTGGGATCCTATACGGAGACCTGTGAATACTACTCAGCCAATGGCTGGCTTGCTGAGAATATTGATATATAAGTATAGGTTTCTCGGTTTCTCTGGTTCTTCTTCGAAACTGACAGTTTCCTAAAGCCTTCAATTCCTTAATCAATCCTTTACGTAAAGATTGCTCCTAAACAAATTTGCAAGGTAGTAGACTAACTAGGAAGGCCCTTGATCCTCAATAACAGAATTGTTTTAAGGGTTCTCAAGGGTGCAAAGTGTTTCCTAAGAAACAGGAAATACAAATAAATATTGATACTACTAAGCCAGTGGCTGGCTGCGTGCCATTTGTTTAGGGGGGAGGGGGATCCCTTTTACTAATCAAGATCCAACATTAAATGGAAGCGGAAACTGCTTGCTAGCGGAAACTACTTGCTGCAGGTCATTGCATGCTAAACCACACACCTACAGAATGAGATCAATGAAGACTGGACCGTGTCTGACTGCCAGTCTGCAGGTTGGTATTACAAAGAAGGTTGCGCTCAGTTGAAGAAAACAACTCAAAGGATTTTGAATCATCGAGGCGAAACTGGATGACACTCGCTCAAAAAGGCGTGGATGTGGAACACGCCGACTTGGAAAGCTCTGTTCCGAACTACTTTGTGGTCTTCCAATCGTGAGGAACTTCGAGCTCCTGAAGGCTCAGGAACCCCCCGTCCTGCATCGTCACGCTGGGTCATGGCGCGGCATTGGTGGGCCGTGATGGCAGAGATTCAGACGGTCGGGTTCTGCGGTATGAATTCCTCCCTCCCGAACATCCAAACACTTGGTAGGGTTCGTGGGATGGAAGTTGAGGCTAATGACAGTCTCTCTGGAGTACGACATCATACGACGGCCATCGGACATTCTCTGGTCAGCTTGGTGCATTATGGTGCATTGAAAGCTTCCAGCTGGCCAACATGAAGTCAAGCTACAGTTGTCAAGCCTGCCAAATGAAGGTAGACCAGGTAGACCTTCAGCTGGTAGCTCTGGACTCTCAACCCTCGACGTGTTCGACTCGAAGGAACTCACCCCCATGTTAGCTCGGAGGGAGTGGTTTCGATTGGATGCTGAGTGGTGTCGGTTCCCGCAACAAGCAGGAAACGCAGTGCATTGACCCGTGGTCAACTAGGATCTGCTAATGACCCACGGCTGGCCGGCCTGTCGTCATCTGAAGGCTTGCCCACAAAAATGTGTAACAGTCGGGTGCAGTAGGGTAAGAAAGTTATTATGCAATCCTGTCCTGTGGCATCAACATAGTAGCTCATCAACCATCGTCAAGACCTGCTTGGGGACTGGCATTTTGTAGCCCGCAACATTTGAGCCAACACTCTCGAATGCTTTTGGCATCGAAGCATGCACCCGTCGGGCACGGGCGTCGCTGGGAACCCTCGGCGGTTGACTGGGTGAGTCTCGGCTGATGCCAGGTAGCGATGCCAGGAGCCCCTAGTAGCGTCCTTGCTCCTATTAGTAAGGCCAGGAGCCCCTAGTAGCTTCTAGTAGCGATGCCAGGAGCCCCTAGTAGCGTCTTGGGGCGCTTTGGGGCCTTCCTGAAGAGAAATATATCCTTAGCTCTGTGCAGCTCCCTCCAAACCACCAGCCGCTGGCATGCATATCACCGTAGCAAAGCCAACACAATATGTTTTTGCTTCATGTCCCTTGAACGGAGAGTATCTATGTTCCTCATCATTTGTCCTAGAATCTAGGACCGCCCATAGGTTGTCAAGCCCTTATATAGTTGGTGGTGGGAAGTGGGCAACTCCGTGAAGCTGCGATGTCTGCAGTGGGTTGTGTTCTTGGACTTTCCAGGTGCAAAACAAATGTTTTTCAACAGCTGCAAGCTATGCTTCTGCTCATGGAACAAGAGCACCACCCCAAACCACCCAAAATAAATACACAAATACCGCCATAGTAGCTTCTGCTTCCCTGCTTCTCTGTTTTTGCCCTTATTACTGGCCTATACAACGCCTGGTGTAGTACAAATACAAATGCAGCATGTACTTCAGTAGAAACATCAGAGGATTTCAAAGACTCAAACCGGTCTTCAATGTTCAGGCAAAAATGATCTTAAGCATGCACTTGTATTATATAGTTATTAAGCATCAAATTTCAAAACGGTCAATTGTCGCGTAGGTCCACAAGCACCTGCACAAACCTTTGGTGGCCAAGCTGTGCGCACCAAAATGTCTATATACCAGATTGCTCGACCGTTCAAGTCATGTGGCAGAACGTGGCAGGAACCTCTCTGCGAGGAAGCCAAGTTGCTTGAGGCACAAGGGAGGTGTCAAATGCGGCTCTATTGACTGGCGAGACCCTATGCACATCTCCTGATGAACCTCAGTTGTCATGCCCCCTCCAGTTATATGTATATATATACACCGCGTCGCCCAGCTTTTGCCCCTCCAAGTGCCCAGCTTTTGCGTGCGACGGTGCACTTGTGGCATCCAACAGAGGTTCACCTAGTCTGCCTAGACCCTACACAGAAGCTCAGGTTGCCTGGCAAGGGTGGCGTTCAACAGTCGGAAGTGGATGTCAAAAGGTGATGGGATTGCCAAACAAACACAGCTGTCTGGGCACACTCAGTGGGGTCGAGCCCTTGGCACCCAACCGCATTTGAGCGACACCCATGAAAGCCACCTCATTCGTTCGCCAGGCAGGCCACTCCCAGCTCTAAGACCTGGTGCTAGCCGGTCGCGGCACTCCCAAATTTGCTTGACCGGGTCACTGGGTCGGCCGGTTTTCAATTCCTAGATGCGTTCAAGAAGGGTCAAGCTGATTTTGCTTGGATGATCATCTCTACCTTACAGTTTGTATTCCAACCTAACTCAGCTCATGGAACTGCAAAATTATTTGAGTGGCTCTGCATGTCATAACCTCTCGATGTGGCCAAGCGTGGGAGCCGTAAGAATAAAGGGCGAGAACGACAAAACCAAAGGTGCAGCAGCTGTGACAATGAGAGATCATCAAATTGTCTGATGGCTCCGCCTCCACTGGTGAACAATAAACACAACTATTTCCCAGTGCTTTGGGTATCTCCAGTTATATTGATTTCAAGATGTTTGTGTCCCCAACAATCAGCAACCATACTCTAGCCCAAAAGGCCCTTCATTTTCCCGACCTTCCAAGCCCTCCTCGTGCAGCTGAGAGTTGCTTTGTTGAGACAGTGCTATGTGCGACCAAACGTGCAAAAGACATCGAAGGTGGAAGAAGTCCTAGACGTCCCCCCACCAAAAAATATAACATCCAACATTTATCACATGCCTAGGCAGGGCATCGCGTGTTCAATAACCTAGGCAACTGCAAGCTGGATATACGGAAAATATTAGGTTGTTTACTCAAATCCACTGGAACATGCATGGTAAACCCTCTGCATCGTCCCCTTTCCACCCTTCTCAATTGTCGCACCAACAGCGGTCATAGCCCACGGGCGGGTGCCAGTGTGGTGCCCTTCACCTCGGACGTCGTCGGCACGCCAGGCACGCTGGGACCGGACAAATAAGATATGTATTTAGATGTCATCGTTTTCTGATTACGGTGGTATTGGAAGTCGGAAATTGTATGAAATCCTTATTATCATCGTTTTCTGTTATTTTTGCCACCCTGTGAATATCGATTGCTGTTTTGTTACAATAGATGACTACGATTATGACTCTAACAAAGCATGGACAATGACTATGACCTCTTGGAAGAATTTGTGTCCCTGCACAACCATTTAGGTCCATTGTGTCTTAAAACAATGTAAGTGGCACCATGTGGAATCCCATCTGAACGGTGGGGGCTGCAGCAGTGTCCTCATCAAACATCGAGATCCTTGCAACCCACCGGCCGGGCCCTGGTCCTGTCTCAGAACACCTCCCTTTGAAACCGCTGAGGGCCTGCCAATCACCAACAAGAAGCAAAAATGGTCAGCTGATGTTTAGCCCTGAAAATAATCCTCATTGGTCCTTGAGTGGGGGAATGAGCTCCGGGCAAGCTGCTTCCTCATAAGTTGCCCAGCGTCGGCACAATAAAAAAGCTCTAAAAGCAGGTCTTGCTCTTGCATGACTCGGCAGAAGAAGGACTAAGCGTGACTCGGCGCAACCCTGCCAATGGTTTCAGGAAGCTTGTGCCACATTCACTCTGGGATTCAAGGATGCCCCATATGCAAAGCAAAAAAGTATAACAGGAAGAAACCATGACACACTTGACTGACAATAATTTGACCAACAACCTGGAAGAGCCTCGCCTCATCAAACAAGGGAAACTACAAGATCGAACAGCTACAACGCTGCAACAAGTCATCCCTTATCGAACCACAGCCGGCCCGGCCCGGCATCAGAATTTGTTTAATGTATATATATACATACAGAAGGGCACGCCATGGGGCCTGCGTATTGGAAATCTGTATCTAGACTGAAGTTGCATAGAATCAGATATTGGAGGGCAGGGTACCGCTTAAAAACTTAACACACAATTATGGACAACCACAACACAGACACATATATATATATATATATACAATATCATACAATATCCGGAACTCTCGCAGGAAAAACAAGTAGACACAAACCACAAAACTTGAAATGTTGAAACTACAGGTAGGGGATGGTAGGCGAAGGAAGTGCTTATTTATACTGAAGATAAAATCCAAAGACCCCTAAAAGCCTCCTTTGACCACATATCCCTCAAACCAAGAACAAATAGTTTTCCATTTGGCCAAACAGTTAATCAAATTGACATGGGAAACGCGTGCATATACATGGACATCAGTTTTCCTGCTGGGGATGTCCCTATTCTTGCATCCAGGCATTGCTATACAATGTATAGTTATGTTTATGGTATAATATGGTATAATGTATAATGATATTGCCATCCAGCCAAGCTCCCCGGCCATCCCCGAACTCTGAAGCATCTCCATCAATTGTGCCAAAAGCAGGAGGGCATACCGCTCCACCTTCCCAACAACTGGAGGTCCAAGAATGGACAAGTGTTCAGAATGGCTCTCCTGAACTCCACATGTAGCTGAGCTGCATGTCCTGTTGAATGACTAGTCAACATCACATCAAATCACCCCACTCTGAATTCTCTGGAAGCTTGCTGCACCATTGCTACAAAGACTATTATTGTTAAAACAAACACCAACGCTCCCCCGGATGTCCGGGATGGGGCCTCGCTGATGCCGGGATGGTAGAAGTGGCAGTAGAAGACCAACAGCTCGGCCTGATGCTCAGCGTCGCTTGGAATCGATCCGACCAAGTCGCTTGGAAACTCGTTTTTGTTCATGTAGATTGGGTCTATCCTATTAGGGGTGACATATAATAAATGAAGTGTAGCCTACAGTCTATCTACATGAGTTGAGTATACCTATTGAATATGGTGACTATAGTCCATCCATAACAGCATCCATCAATGCTTCGATCGTTGAACAGCAGTATTTAGCTCCATCCGATTCCCTCCTGTCTTAGATTGTCTTAGCAGTGCAATCTCATTCTTTTGGCCGAAACAAGTGCTCGCCGCCGAGACAACTGGCCGTCGGCCGGTAGGGACTGATTGATTCTCATCATGAAGCTTCTCTTCGTTGTTCCGAATCCACAGGAGGGACCATGAGGGACCCATAAAACTTTGTAAAGCCAAGCACCGTGAAGCCCATGAATCTCGTCCCATGCACAAAAGGCATGCCTGGGAGGTGTTCTCCATTGAGTGGGTGTAGCTTGGATCAAAGACCAACACACCTGGCCCGTTGATTCAAGGCGTTGAAGGCGGACAAATGTGGTGCTTCATGTGTTTCCAAAGGATTTGCTTCCAGACTAGCTCCAACATGGACCTCGAAGAGACTTGACTTGGCCACAACACGAAGTGAACACTTACCAGCACCCTCTTTTGAGGGGTCTCCTAAGGAATACCCTACCCTACACTACTTATTGTGGATCTCAATCTCCATTAAACATCCCTTTGAAGGTTCAATGTCCAGGCGTTTTCAATCATTCGGTGATGTGTGGGAAGTGTCTTTATGTTCGCGTAGTATTCCGGCCAGGTTGCTGGAAAATATCCAATGTCACAACATGTCACGACGTACACCAACAAAGAAGGGTGTTGGCCGGTGCTGGGAAGTTTCTGGGCTTTTGAATGGACAAATCATACCCCATGTTTGTGGTCTATCTTGGCACCAAGCAAAGTAATTACAGAGACGGGGGCAGTTGCCTGGCATTCTGTGCTCCACAAAACTCACTTCGTAAATTCCTCTTCTCAGGTAGGTGCTGGCTCTCTGGGTCATTGAAGTAAAGCTGCGCTCACAGGACTTCTGAACTGAATCTCCCAAATCGGTGCTCATTCAAGAATTAGAACCTCCAACTGCTTCTGGGGCGGGCAGGTCATCAGGATTGAGGAGCTTCACCTTCATGTGGGAGATCCTTCCGGAAAAAAAACACCTGCCACTTGATCTCAGTTGCTACATGCTGCATCATGCTGCTACGTAGCTCAGCAACAAAGGCCCGCTGGGACTCCGGGCTTCCCACCCCCGACCATAGTGGGACCCATCGAACCGAAGAACCGATTTGCGTCCGACTTGGATCTCACATGAAGACCTCACGCAAGCGACCTGTGTCAATCCCCCGGAACCGCTTTGATTTGGGCATCTCTTGGGCCTTCTTCCAAGCTGCGGCTTTGCTCCCCCACCTGGCAGAAAGCGCGATTGTTGCTTGACGCCCGGTGAGATCGTCTAGAACGCGTGCCATCGCTGATCTGTCAAACAATGCTGTTCATTGGGCCTTCGGCTTTCTACATGCTCACCGCATGACTATGATTTTGGAGTAGCAGTGGTTGCAGGGAACCCTGCCCAAACCGCTGTGGTGCAGCCCTGCAGAACACTGTCAACAAATCACCCACACTCACTTTCAGTGGACTGGATTGCGGTGGTTCCACCTTGCATCCGGTCTCAACACATGTGTCAATGGCCTATGTCCTACCTTCATCCATATTCCCTTCATTTTCTCCAACAAAATGATATGTCTGATATGTCCATCCTTGATCCATCTTCTCACTTTCGGCGCTTCACCCATATCCAGTGGACTTTTCACAAAAAAAACATGTCAGCAGTGCATGCGCGACATAAGAGCCAGGAGCTTTTAGCCTTGGTCGACTGCTGTCTGTGCGATGCTATCGGATGTGGCTTCAATGACAAACACCTTGGCTTCATTTGGGCAAGCGTGCCTCACTTTTTAGTTTTGTCGTCCAAAAAGTCATGAGGCAAGTAAGAGGTGACCATAGTCACTACGTAGTCGAAAAAGGGCAGAAGGTTCCTTGCCAGGTGGCACTTCTAATTTTACAGTGTTCTTCTTCTAAAAAAAATCCCAATTGTGTTTGTTTCTGTTGGTGATAGCTGGTCCGACGAGGCTCACCTCATCGAGGTCGATCACCACACAGCTGGCCAGAACCACTGGAGATCACTGCCACGAGCAGAATTAGGCTGTGGAACGTCAGGAAACTACTAGGAGCAAGGACACTACTAGGGGCTCCTGGCATCGCTACTAGGAGCATTCTTACCAATTACTAGGAACAAGAAGCATAGGGAATTAAACCAATCAATCTGATACCTCACGAGTGCATCCAGAGGGTAAGTGCCTTGCCATCTCGCGCACCCACGCATCCAAGCCGGGCATTGGTGAATGGACATCAACCCCCTCCGATAGATCCTGCGTACAGAATAATGGAACATGATAGAACCTGATAGAACTGTAAAATCTTGCAACATCCCCTTGAAATGTTGGGCGTTGTTTGTTTCTATCTATGGAATTCCATGAAATTCCGAAATGGAATCAACCAACCCAACAACTTGCCCACTTCTCAGCCCAAGTGCTCCAAAATCAAATGCACCGTGAGGACCTGGGGCCGGGTTGATGTTGAAAACAATGAACTTGTTAATATTGGATGATAGTGATGTCAAATAATGCAAACATCATGTCAAAACAAATATTTCATTCAATATAGTCATGTCAAAAAAAATTGGATGAAGTTGACCGCTGTTTGAACAATGACCTTTGCCGGGGCAGCTGTCGCTCTTGATTGAACGAACCCATGATGCGCTGCAAAACCCCAAGGGAAAATGTTCCGAAATTATCGGTTGCTACTGAGGAAGGATTGGCAAGCAGGAAAGTAAATGTGACACACCACAGGAGTGCGGCCTCAAATGTGTGACACCTGCTATGTAGAAGCCGGCAGAACGAGGCTAGTTCAGTAAGGGAGGGTCCAAATAGGTTGGGTGTCCAATAGGTTGGTTGAGTAGCGACAGGTCATGATAGACTTGTTCACATCTACGAAGGTGCCATCAACTCTCGACGTTGCGTGCAGTGCACTCAGGGTTTCGCAACCAGATCGCACAGACCGCGGGCGCATCCTGGGTCGAGATCCGCCAGTCGCCAAGGACGCTGGGGTATCCCGGGCGTCCAGACGTAATTGGTGTTGGCCTCATGGCGCAAGACGCCCATGGGCTCCACCCGTGCGAAGCCCGCCTGACTGAGCCCGGAAAGGGGTTCGAACGAGCCTGCTGGGAGTCTGGATGTGTGGAAAACCCCACGACATCGAGAGGTGGAGCTATAGAATGCTATAGATCATGCATGATAATCATGCTGTGGGCCATGTCTGATTGCAGGTCCGGTGGCCCAAAATGGCCAAAACCACGTGGCGTAGCGCTGGGCGATTGACCCAGCTACTGTCAGACTGTCAGACTACGTGTTCGCACCTCGGCGGAGACTTTCCAAGACCCATTGATGGGACGACCTGGTTGCCAGGTTCTTCATCTTTTCTTTACCTCCAAAACCGAGCATGGTCCTCCGTGACCCACGGTCGGGCCGCTCGTGCCACGATCGGATTGTCACCACGTCGTCTCATCCGTGGCGTGCCGGTCCAGAAATTCATATGTATATTGTATATACACATATATTTCTCTCTCTCTCTCACTACTCCCTTCCCCCGGGGGGGCTCAATATATGGGCGTAAGTGGGCCATGTACTTTACATAAAATTCAAAACCAATGGACCTGGGTCTATTTTAAGTACTTTGATCATCGGCTTTCCCTTTGGGGAGGGTCGGGTCGTTGCCGGGGAGGTCTCCCAAACAATAATGTCACAAAGATTCTCCTGTTTGGGTGTGTGTGTGTGTCCACCTCTGTTTCTTCTAGATTTCACCAGGACCGGCGCAAGACATCACGACGCTGGCCAACGAAGCTAGTGATGTCATGGGAAGCAGTCAGAGACGTCTGACTGTGTACCTGCCGAATTCTCGTGGTTTAAACCGTTTTCTGACCTTTCCGCCTTTCCGTTCCTCACAGGGCTGTCTTCAGGCATCAGGTCTCCAGCGCTCTATAACTGTAACATAAAGGGCTAGTGCACTCGTGATCCAGATTCTGAAACTCCTGCTCTTTCAGTTGAGCTATGAAATGCTATGAATCTAAGCGTGTCCAGCTGCATCTTCCTACTTGGGTATGCAGTGTGATCCCCTCTATCCAAATATATCCAGATTCTGAAACTCATGCTCATTCAGTTAAGCTATGAATCTAAGTGTGCCTGTGTGTCTGTGTGTGTGCGTCTGTGTGTCCCAGACTGAAACAGTTTTGGGGGATATCATGTGATACCGTCTACGCGTTTGAAAGAAGTGGTTGTGGGTTCCCTCGACATGGACCGAAATCTACCTCATCTATCTTGTTGGACAGAAGGTGATCGTTGTTTCTCGGGCTGCGACATGCCTGGTCAGTTTAGCTTCATCCCCGCTTCATTTCCCAATCACCTCTCCCACTCCTCTCACCAGAACTTGTCCCTCTCACTCCTTCACCAGTTTTCCAAGTTCTCTCACCAGGTTGGTATAGGTTGGTGTCATTTGTCACTTCCTCCTCTCCTTGTGTCCTTGCGCTGTCGCCTTTTTCCAGGCCACTGAGGCGAGTTCTAAGCACCGTCCAGGCGACCCAAAACGACAGGCTCGCCGAGCCGCGCCAAGGACGACGAGGTTGGAACACCCGATGTTGGAACCTATTCGCTGAACCGCGCCAGCCACTCGTGCAAACTCGTGGATCGGTGGAATTCGGGGGGATGATTGGTGCACTCCGCCCAAAGCTGCTTCGTTGTTGGCATCCTTGTGCGGACGCCATTCGCTGAGTCGGCATTGACCAACTTGGAAGCTCCAGGAGTCATAGCCGACAGCTTCGGGTCGAGGCTTCGTTAAACTACCAACCTGTCTTGGCGGTTTCCTCAGTAACCTAGTTCCGATGGTCCAGGGTTTCTGGGCTGAGGGGCACAAGCCTGTGACGTGGGGCAAACGCAAGGACCACAGGAAACGATACTCGTAAACACAACTGCAAAATTAGCACAAATTGAGACTCTTCACAGCTGACTATCTGAGACACACTACAACACGTTTGAATTGATTGAATATGGTTGAATAATTCCCGCGCTCTTCGCGTCAAGCTGTGCACGCCAGCTGACATGACACATGACCAGCCAGAGACCAAACCTGAGCTTCCAAGAGATTTCATCTAAAGAGTTTCCGATTTCGCGAATTCCTTCGAAGTTCCTGCGCAATCGAGGGCCACAGCCTGCTTGAGAGTGCTGCCACAAAATCCAGTGTGCTTTCAAAGGGCCATACACAACATCATCACAGTGGATAGTCCAGGCTTTTGTTGAGGGCTGAGTTCGAGATGGTTCTGTGACACAGGAGGGCCTCCATCAAGAACGCGCCTACTTTGTTGTCCAAGTGGTAGCAGCTGGTCTGGAAACCGATCTTTGATTTCATCATGATCTTTCCCTGAGAAAGCTCGGCTGATCGGCAAATCACATGTTTTAACCGCCTGGAACACTAAAATGGTCCTGGAGTGACTCGGTGAGGGTCTGAAGAGTTTCTAGAGGATTCGGAGAGTCCTTAGGCTTCAGGTGTGCTTGAGAAAAAAATCGATCTAGACCCAGAGGTTCCTCTCGTGACAGTAGTTGTACCAAAAAAAACACGTCCATCTGATTGAACCAAAAAACTCACAAAAGTCACAATCAAACCTTGCGTGGGCCTTTTGGGACAAGAAGTCGTCCTGCAAGTCCTGCTTGCTATCATGCAATTGTTCAACAAGGTTTGGTTTCCACGCAAATACTGGGTCAAGCAATGAGGACCCAGGACCCAGGGGGACAACCGGACAACAAATACAAATAAATAAACATAATATACATACAATATATATATATATGTTATATATATACCCAGAACTTCCAACGTCGAAGTTTAACTTAGCCAATGAGAAACGTCGAAGTTAAACTGGTACACCTCAGTGCGTCTAAGTTTTACTCATGTTAGTTGTCTTAGACAGAACGGACTCCGCAGAACGACGAAGTTTAACCTGGTTAAACATAGACAGAAACAACGTCGAAATTAACTTAGCCTTTGAAGATTAGGGTGTCATTTTACTATATATATATATATTACTTATTTTTTATACATTGGATATAACATAAAATAAACACGAAAGAGGGAGACACAGAGAGAGAGAGAGAGAGAGCGAACTAGATGTATATTTACCCCGAGTCACTAGCATGAAAGTGGACCACCTGTTGGTAGAGAACAATTGTGGGCACTGCCTTCTCGGGGCGTGCCGGCCACATCCATTCGTGGATGTGTGGATGTGCTTGATAATGAAGTCCCATTGTTGCCCAAAGGGACTTGCATGTCGACATCGGCCTGAGCCGATGACTCTGTCATTTTTGAATTCTCGTCATAATGAAAAGCTCCGTGGCGTGTGAGTTGATAATCCTACCACTTTGCTTTGTTCCTTCGCTGCGCACGACGCAGTCGAAGCGCGGCGCTCAGGTGTACAAATTTTCTCTCTGTAAGCTTCCCATATCCTCCCATAGTGGGAGGCTGGCAGCAATTCATTTAGTATTGGCAATGGTAAGTTCTCCCTTCCTTCCTTCCTTCCTTCCTTCACTTACCCACTTCACTTACTTACCTACTTCACTTACTAACTTGCTTACTTGCTCACTCATTTAATTTGGCTTGATCCTGAATGAATCTTGCTTTGTTTGCAGGTTATCGCCGTACGTTCTGCCTGTAGAGGAAAATCGTCATCTAAGGGGCCATGCCATCCACTTCCATGACTACTTCAGGAAGTGAAATTAGCTATTTGTCATAATATCCTTGTATCTTTGGGGGCTTTGCGGTGCGGACACTTCCCCAGTCCAACAAGGAAAGGCTAGTCCCGAGCACCTTTTTAAAAGCAGACACCTTGTTTTAAAAAAAATGTCCGAACCTCCTATAATTTTATATGCGTTATTGAATTACCGCCCTTTAAAGCCGCTAACAGCCAACATGGCCGATTTTTGGGGAGATTTTTAGGTTGCAAAAACAACCGTAACTGCTGTCTATCCACCGGACCATGACACACGGCGTTTACACCAGCAGTTTTTCTTTCCCCCCAATGGCACGGACTCACGCAAACGCACTTGCCACCGAGGTCACGCAAAACCGCATGGCACAGCGACATCACCCTTCGATCTGGATGTTTCTTGAATTTTTGATACGAGTTTAATAAATGATGTTATACAAAAAACAATCCTGGGTTACTTTTTGGTTTTGAAGCTCTTCCCAGGTGACCCTACTTTGGACAACCCCGATTTCAGGGACCCCCTATGTTAAAAGTGCTCCCGAGGTTTTCTTAATAGGGGGCCGTGATTTTTAATAGGTGGAAGGGATTACTGCCATCTGGCCGACTCCACCGGTTGTCTGAGGCCCAAAGCCTGGCCATCCCGATTGCGCATCCAGCGGTCAGCAGACATTTGGGACATCCAATGGACACTCCGCTGCTGTGAATTCGGCCGAGCTCCCTTCTTGGGACTTAGCTCCTGTACATAGGTCTGGGGAACACCAAGTCTTTGATCGATGACAAGCAGGTCCATCATGCTGCTACCCCGTGCAAAAGGGGAAACTGTCAGGAAACTGTCAGCCCATCTTGTCAGGTACAAGTTGGAATTGCTGCTCCCAACACCTATTCTTCTGTACATTCCTCTGTGAGCAGTAGCCGTGTGCATTGGTCACATGACCACTTTTTCCGCGCTCCGCGCTGGGTGGGGGGCTTTTGCTGAGCTGACTTGACAGCTTTGATGTGCAACGAGGTGAGTCCAAGAAACCCCAAATGGGTGCCCGGCGCCTGTCATTCAGTTGAAACATGTCTTTTATGTGCGTTCTTTGACCCAAAAAGGCAACTCTTCGCCAAATCAACCCCTTTTGTATGGATGGTTCCAAGTTCCATGTAACAAATAGTCTGAATCTCTGAAGCCAAAAATTAAGTTCATCATTCTGCAATCACACAAGTCTTCCAGTGGTCGACCACACCCGGAAGAGCAACTGACTCGCTGCAGCGTTCACCGCAGGAAACTGCCGTGGTTGTCCGGTTTTCCTGCGTTGAACGTCAGCCCCAAAGAGATAAAAACAACAATTGACATTATTCACCAAGGGCTTCTCAGAGCACAACGGTACTTTTTTC